ACACCGCGTTTCCCGCCGAACTGATATTCCTCGTTGAAGATTTCAACACGCGCAGTTAAAAAGGCACGATCGTCCTAACGTGGCGTGTAGGACAACGAATGGAACGTTTACGTACATTCCACGTATCGTCGTCATCGTGAGTGACGCGGTTCGTTTTGTATCGTCTTATATCGTTGAGGCGATAAGCATTAACATTCCGTATAACTTTCGTCATTATCCTTGAGGTGGATTGTAAGGTTTTCCGTTTTATCGGTCTCGGACACCTCTAACCTGCCTGTATTTCTGGGTACTTCTGTGTGCTCTCGTACGTATTTTGTAAGCGTGATTCATCATCTACGGAAATCTAGAAAATCGCGATTAACAAAACTTCACTTGTGATATGGCATCAACTGATTTAACAAAAATTAAGTCACATTTAATTTTTTTAGATTAAAATTTTTTGGAATTAATCATTTCTAAATATGTTAATGATATTTCTTCAAGAGAGAAATTCTTATTGCATTAATTCAACAAGCTTGTAAAACTTTATTTATAAATTCCATACATGATGTATAGAAATGTGATGGGTGAATTACATAAAAACCAACTAATTTGAATAAGAAAATTATAAAAATATAAAGCTAATATCAGCAATTTAAGTCTGTGAAGATTATTTTTGAATTTGCAATTATAATTCAGATTTTGGCACTGTTTACTCCAAGAAGTTATTTAGTTTGCACAACACTGTGCTTACTATATATTCAGATTTGTTGTATCTTTGTTAAATATGCCTTTAAAATGATTTATATCCTAAGAAAACAATTACATTTAACAGCATAATTCATAGATAAATATGTAATGGTAAATTTATTCTGTTTCAGACTGTAAATAGGGAGTGTACATAGTGTGATATCGTGAGTGCTTAGGTGCGTGGGATTTTAGTTGGCAATGAGTTCAAGCAACAAATCCTTGGTGTCCTCTGGTGGAAGAGGCACCAATAAAAATAAATCACAACAACATGGCAAATCAGATCATCATCAAACTAAATCATCAGATTCGACCAAGCATGAGAAGGCCCAGGTTGATATTCTATGTTGCTAGAATGTCTAGGTTGATTTATTTGTTCAAAACAAATTACAATCTCATACCATTTATAATTTTGTATTCTTTTATTTAAAATTTAACTCTTCAATCAATCTCTACAAATCAAAATTTGTATGAAATGAAAATTAAGATCTAAGACCTACTGATCATGAATTCATTGTTCCATAGAACAACATATTCTAAATTTATAAAAATATATAAACATTGTTTTTTATAAATTTACATTTTCGATTCATCTGTTATACATATTATATATTTATTTACACGCTTAAGAGTAAATATATGTTAAAAGAGAGATGTGTGTATATATATATATATATATAATAAATTGCAATATGAAGTATTTTAAAAGAAATTTTATAACAATTGTTGTACAGCAAAACACAAATCAAATGCGCAACGCGCAAATCATCGATACCAGAATGGCGGGAGGTGAGGACCCTATCCTTAAGGAACGGATTAAGCAGGTTATGGATATGACTCGACGTTCAGAGGATGAAGTGATCATGGCTCTACATGATAGTGACGGAGACTTGGATCGCGCTGTTAATGATCTTTTGGAAGGAGTAAAAACAGAATGGGAGGTTAAAAAGAAGAAGCCTCGTCAGCCTAGCGGTTCCAAGCAAACTACAGATCAATCGGGTGGACAGGATGACAATGGCGAGTGGGAAGAACGACGTAATCAACGTGGTGGCGGTCCTCCACGTATGCGAGGCCGCGCCAATCATGACAATCGTGGATGTTAGTTTAATAAAATGTTTATCAAATTTTTCAATTATTATTTGAGTCACTTAGAAACAACACATCTTTTAATTCCTTCTTTGCAATTACAACAAAAGTGTAGTTCAAGATTTTTACTTTATAATTTTATTAATCAGTATTAATTTTTATACAATTGTTCATTAATAGGGCGCGGGCGAGAAAACAAGGAGAACGAAAGGAACATGGAAGACGGTATGCGTGATGGCTACAGCAGAAGAGGTAGAGGCGGATCCGGAAGATCAGGTCGTGGATGTCGTAGCGGTGGTCGAGGTCTTGGTCCAAGAACGTTCGCAAACCGCAATGATCCATCATCTGCCTCCGCTGCTCATGGTTTTAATCGGCCGATTGAAACCTGGACAGGGAGCGAGGAACAACAACAAAGTATTCAAGAGTCAAAAATGGGTAAATTTTAATCTATATTGGATTATCTTTCTTCCGTTAAATGATTATACAATTAACAAATTAATTTTTCGAGATAAACAGATTTCTATTTTGTACATAAAATTGTATCGAATACGTATTATATCGATAAACTGTATATATAGATGCTTGGAATAATTTGGACTCTACAGAGGACTGGGATAACGAGGAGTATACAGGATCATTGGCAGATACTAAAGTCTTTACACCGAGCACGAATATTCTTGAACCTTTGCCTGTTCTGGAAGAACAGAAGCCTCAGGAAATAGTGTCGACGCAATCGGGTCAAGGCGTTAATCTTTCACTGCTTCAACAGGAGGTAAAATTATATTGTCAACTATTATCAAAATTATATTATCAACTATTTTTAGACAACTACTTATACATATATTATTTTTCATATTTCAATGATCTTTTTTTTTGTATTATTTACAGGAACTACCAAAATTATCGGACATGTCTACAATGCAGCAGCAGAGCTTAATACAACAACCTCAACAACAGCAAGCCCAACAACAGCAACAAGTATTAAGCTTGCCGACGATGCAGTTGTCGCAACAACCCAGTGCAATTAGTGGTGTACTGACAGCGGCACAAACTCAATATCTGACGCAGCTCACTCAACAAACTAGCGAAAGCTTAAAAGCAGCTGCGCAAACATCGTTTTCGTCATCTATATCCAATCAGGTATTTTAACTCATATTTTGATAAATTCTCAAAGCGTGTCAATCAATTAATTAATTAATCAATTTGCATTAAATTATTTGCAATCTTTGATGACTTTAAATATACACTTACATTTACAGCCACAAAGACAAACGAAACAGCGTCCGAGAGTACCACCACCGTCAAAAATACCATCTAGTGCCGTGGAAATGCCTGGTGATGCAGTGAATAGTGGGATTGGCTTTCTCGATGTACAGTTTGGTGCGCTCGAATTCGGAAGCGATTCGAGCTCACTCGATGGCTCGGCGAATGAAAAATATAACTCGACAAATAATACAATCACTGGTGTGGACATGACTTCCGGTGCGAATACTGCGAACACTGCCAATACGAATAATTCGCTCGACATCGATACTACGCAGACTTCCACCGCGCCATTCAATGCCAGCTCACAGATGGTAGATTTCATTTTCAAATTAAATTTTATACCTTATATATAAATCTTATACATATGTGTGTGTGGGGGGGTGGGGGGGGTACGCGTGTGTGTGTAAAAATATATTGCAAATATTACACACGCACCCCCCGCCCCCACACATATATTACAATATAATTTCGATTTCCTACATAAATTTTAATTTGACATATATTTTTAGTTACCGAGTACCGATACTTTACCAGCATCAAGCGAACATACGATTAGTTCCCAAAATTTCACTCGTGGAAGTAGTAGCAATCAAAGCTTGGATATAACTAAGCAAGATTTCACGTCGCAAGTCTCACCCGGGAACGCACCAACGTATGGCGCTACGACAACCTATCAGCCATCGCAAAAGTCATCTTTCCAGCCGTCGAGTGGTACGCCAAGCACCTACAATGCATATTCGACTAATAATCAATCTCAGTCTAGCTTCCAAAATGCATCAGGCACTAACACGAATAGTTATTCCGCGACAGCGACAGTTTCGCAGGCGAGTTACAACTCGTCGACGTCATTCCCACAATCTAACGCGTCGAACTTCAGTCAACCTTCTCCTTCCGCATCGGCGTCCGCGACTTCCGGTTATAACCAACCTACCACTAGTAGTCAGGTACAATTAAATTTGAATTAATATTATCAATTTTATACTAGCACAACTTGTACAAAAGTTAAAACAATTTTTACTTCATAGGTTTATCCATCTGCAAGCGGATATGTACCGGCTACAACATCGCAATATCCAGCACAAGCTACCAATACGGTATCAAACAGTAACACTGGATATCAAACTTATCAGCCACAATACCAGTCTTCTGTCACAACGTTCACATCTCCGATAACGCAAAATTCCGGTTATCAGAGCGCCGCGCAATCCGTTAGTACAAGTTTTTATTATATCTTTAAGTATAATTTACACAGTTCGAGAACACAAATTCACACATGTCAAATATTAATAGGTTTATGCAAATCCCTATGGTAGTTATGCTAGCCAACCGCAGGCGGCATCTCACAATCACAAATTAAACAGCACTGCGACGAAAGATTCACAATACGATAGCAGCGCAACGACATCGAACAGTTCTCTCGCGACGACTAGTGCACCAACGTTGGGTCTCACTTCGACATCTGTCAATAGTTCGCAAACTAAAGTGACAAATTCCAACGGTTAGTAATCAAACAATATTAAGAATCCAACAATCTTCAGCAATTTTCCATTTTCTAATGAACATAATATTTTATTGTTTATCACTCTGTTATTTTAGGACTTGGTTCTTCTCTGACTCTGGTTCTTCTATCATTAATATTTTTTAAAATTCCAAAATTCCACACAGTAAGAGTTGAATTCCGAGCTCTTACTACTACTAATCTGTAGTAATCTCTTACTACTACTAATCTAATCTACTTGAAAAATGATCATTTTAGCTAACGAGCCATTCAACGTTGCAAGCCAAACAATCCGTTTTAAAAGACATATTTTTTTCAGCTGTTCCAAAAAGCACATCGAGCGGGGTAGTAACGGGTAGCAGTGGCACCAGCAACATGACGGGAGGTGGCGCCGCCGGAAGTATGACGCCGATGCTCAGTCACCAATATATCATGGGTCAGGCGGGTGTACCATATGCAACTTTCCAACAGCCCGTGTACAGCTATGAAGACATACAGCTTGTACAGCAAAGAATACCACACATGGTCAGTCACTTCTCGATTCCGATCAATTTGTTTCTCTATTTAAATACAAATGCATTACTTTCTGAGTAACACTTTTTCATAGCAATACACTAAAAGGACAGTAATTTTTATTAATTACGCGGAACTAAACGATTATATTAAGAGAAATTGTTCATTATCACAATATGTGTATTGCTTCGAAGCGTGCTTACTCCATTTTATGTTATTATTACCTGGTACGAAAATTCCTGAGGTAATCGTTTCTTTATTGCTTGGTAGCTGCTCGTAATTCCAATATTCTTTTCGAAACGTTTCAAACTCCTGTGGATGCCTTCACAACAGACTCGTAGTAAGATGTTTCGTTATAAAAGACAGATCGGGTTTTCGATACTATTTTGTACAAAAAAAAATAATGAGAAAAATATTCTTGGAACTTGGAACTTTGATATATTTCTGACATGAGATTGTCTCGATCTCCGATCTATCTTGGCTTATTTCTCTTTCTTCTTTGTTTTGATTGACTTGATTGTAGGCTGTGTACAAATGATGTCACGTATCTGAAACTGTATGAACAATACACATTATATTTCGGTATGGTAATGTGTACAAATGGTTGATGGCGGTACTATACCTTTTTTAGCTTGTCATTTCATTCGGATATTTTCGACTGTACAAACGTGGGAAACGCGATGTGACGGGAAGCGAATGTATTCGTATGTGTATCCGCAATCAGTAGCACTCGGTCTATCGCGAGTGATGGTTTCGACCGGATGAAAGTACCTTGATAGTATCTTTTTTTACGCATAGCAAGAAATAGATCCAAAGCAATCGCATGTTTCTTGTCCCAGCTCGGTACGCGTAGAAATTAGACGTTAGTTAGCCTTCTCTTGTATTTGGAGTACACAGTGTATGCATGTAGTTTTGTGTTTGGCCTTCCTGACTAACGTGCAGCCAACTACTGGTTACTATGACGCGGCTCTGGGCTATCAGACAACCGGTCCCGCAACGAGCCTTGGTGGTGGCAGAGGCGACGCCTTGTCTGGCGTACAAGGCGTACAAGGTGTCCAGGGAGTTCAGGGAGCCTATACCAGTATTAGCGACGCCAGGTTCGCCAGGAACGACAGCAATGCGTCGCCAGTTCCTTCCACTATGTCGCAGCAGGTGAGTCCCGTTGAATAGCGTAGAATCGTAGTGATTTGTTGCTGAGAAACGCGATGTGCAGAAACTGAAAAATCATATCGGATTTGCAGACCGCCACGCAACATCAGCAGCCGATGATAAATCCTACTCTTCCTCCGGGTTACGCATACGCATTTACGTATGGTAGCGGGATTATGCCAGGAGGTTTTCAGTATGGTACTCCTGCCATTTATCCGGTAAGTCTTATCTCAAAATCTCAAATAGATTCGACATTTGCGACTTATACTGATGTGAATGGACAACTGCTAAGATCAATTTTTATCACAGCAAATAGCTACGGCCGGTAATGCCGGGACAAATAGTGGCGCGTATAGCGCTAAGCCGGGTAGCTATGGATCTGGTTATGGTGCCGGAGCAAGCTACGATGCATTGGCTTCCGCCGGTCCATCCGGTGAATACAAAGGGGCTGGTAGTAGTTATACTGGCACCCAGACCGGTAAAACTGGCACCTCTACGGGGAACACCAACACTGCTGGCTCTTCCGCGACGGACATTAGCGCTACGATGTACGCTAAAAGTCATGTCGCTCTTGGCAAGGTGAACGTAAGTAACACTATTTAAAAAAGAATTCTTCGTTAGAAACCCCGAATGTCACGCGTATATTTACACGTTCAATCGGTCCTTTTAGTCTTACGAAAAACAGACTTTCCATTCGGCTACGCCGCCACCGTTCGGTCTTACGGGTAGCCAAAACGCTGGTTTGCCCGGTGGTTACGGTGCACCGCACTTATTCATCCCCACTATGCCACATCAGTTGCATCAGCCGCTCCATCAGGATGGCGGTAACAGCGGCAACCAAAGGTCAAACACAAGTTCGCAGAACAAAGCTCAAGCGAAGCCTGGATACAGTCCTAGTTATTGGACCGGTAGTAACTAAAAAAAAAAAAAAAATAAAAAGCAAAATACAACAAACTTTTGTTAAACGCGACGCTGAGAAAGGACGAAGTAACATAACATCCTACTAGTAGACTAATAATCGTCCTTTGTTGTGAAACCACGGTGGTGTGACATAGAGACTTTGACATTGTCAATAGTTAAAAATGACGATAAAAATGATACGACAAGAGACTTTACTTTTTTCGGGAAATAACACGAGTCAATGCGGAACGAAGAGTGAATACTTTTGAAAATTGAAAGGTATATGCAATTATTGACCGGATGCTTCCTTCAACGGTGATGACGAACAACCGATTCCGACTGTATGCTACATTCACTTGATCTATATAATTTATCTGTTCAGTTCAGCACACTCGCAAACTTCTCCAAGAGACTGGCGTAGAGCGCGGTATCACAATAAAATAATTCCTTGCATTTTATGCGGTACACGTGCAAATCCTATATATGATAATTTGCATATTCCTTCTAACTGTGAATTGCACTCGTGCCAAATGAAATTGTAGCGTTTACCACGCGATGGATTGCGAGAGACGGATTATCGTCTGTATTGATTGTGAATTTTCTGACGCGATCATGTCACAGAATTCATGATAAATCGCCTGGTATGTCGTGCGACACGGCGAATCCAATATCGCGACCCTCTTGTATGATGCACCGGAAAAAGGATCTAGAAGAGTAACATCCGTCGAGTTCGCAGATCTCCTGTTTGTACATTACAGTGCAATTTCGAATGTATTGACTGCTAATATAGGATGATATAGTGTGTCTTTATATTGTTCTCTTTTCTTTTTCTCGTATATAATGTAAACATCTTGGCTTAATAAATATGGAAAGCGTATCTTTGTGAGGTAACGTAAAGCTGTTTTCCGTAAAAAGAATGAAAATAAAGGTGTACGCGTGAAAACGTACGCTTGTATAAATTTATTATTATTATTATTATTATTATTATCGCGTGTAGCGTTTTTTATTTTTGGTATGGTTCACAGCGACCTTGTGAAAAAAAGAAGTACAATCGTTGCACTCGCATACATTTGATTTAAACGCGTTACGCATCTTTGTGATTAGGATTGATTTTTATTACTCCTAGTAATATGCATATCTGTTGCGTATTATATCGAAATTATTGCATATAATCTCGATTAAACGGAGAGCGATATATGCAATCCGCATTATTTCTAAGTGTAGTTAAAAAAAAATCAAATATGCCACAAATATGTAGTAAAAATAGTTCTGCTCTTTTATTATTTTTGTACCTATCTTTACCTCTTGTCTCGCTATATCCGCACATTCGACTGGACACGCAAAATTTTTTATTTCTCATATGATCGACAACAATTGGGATTTACATTTTATTCTCTATTAAAGTTTCCTAAATCATAATTACAAGAGTCACGTTACGAATTAGTATATTTTTGTATAAAATTATTGCTATACTTTTCATTCTTTGTTCGTTAATCTAGATTGGCAATCAGATATCTAATTTAATTGATAAAAATTACGTTTGAAAACGTAACATGTTATTGTTGAGAGATTTGTTGGAAAGCATTTTAGACATATCTAAAAAACGTTACGGATCATCATTTGGCATACTGGTGCATTTCTATAGATAAAGCAAAAAGAAGATAGATAATTTACTTTATGGAAAGGATCGATTCCTATCAGATAATCGAGTTTGAATTCTTTATTATATCGTAAAGTTAAAAAAAAAGAACGTTTAGTGACGTTTATCAAATCAATGTCACAAATCTTTTTTACGGTTTGCTTGAAAAAATAGCCGCATACTTGACGCTCGTTTAGAGAAATGACACGTGATAATTTCCATTACAAACAATCGTACATATTCTTCATTATCTATACGCGACGGATACGAGCTTTAAAAAAGCTTTAAAAATTTATTGAGAATTGATTAAGATGAAGACAAGGCTTAAACACATTGACCGACCGATTGTTGAGACGAATGAGCATATGTAGTAACGACGTATGTGCAGTAACAGTGATTAACAGCTACATTTGTATCTTTTTCATTGTGAGATTGTAAATAAAAAAAAAAAAAAAAAGATCAAAGAAAGAAGCCATTATCGATTCCGTCTGGTGTACACATTCGTTAATATTGCATTATTCACGCTAATTAGAGGTGTGCGAACTGTATAGCTATATACATAATAATCGGAATGAAATAATACACGTATATCGACCAACAATGGAATACACACACGTATTATACACACAAACATATTTTGAAAATATACTTTACATTTTTGCATTGTGAATAAATGAATGATCGCAGATATTCCTCCGGTGAGAAAGAGATAGAATAGGAAAAAACGAGAGAAAACTAAGTCGAGCAAGTACGTCGAACGAACGAAAGAAGTAAACGTATGTGAAGCGTTTTTCACAAAGGTGCTGTGAGAATTGTTACGTCTCTTGCGTGTACAATAAACGTGAGGAATAATGTTTCTTCTAGCACGATGGACAGACGGTCGACAAAGCTTTACCGCTAATATAAAAGCAAGAAGTAAATAGTTGTAAGTAAACTCTTGTTAGCGACTGCATATATATACATATATAAATATATAAATACATAAACTCGTATATATATATATATATATACATAAAATTGCGGTATGAGTAGGATGCGTTTTTGAAAAGATTGAAAGACCAAATGTAGATTAGCTTCCTTTTTTCTCGGAGAAAAGTGTAAATCTGTAAAACTCATATGAACTCTCGAAAGAAAGAACGAAAAAAAAAAAAAAAGAAAATGAAAGAAAATCGGGCTACATCGTCTTCGCCATGGTCCCGCGAACGTGGACTGCTAGCCATTTATTACGATAAAATATATATGCGTTTGAATGTAACACGCAGCCGGCATCAACGAAGGAAACGATTGATGAACGGCCGGGAGAATCAAGTAACGTTTTCGTTGTCTTTTAGTGTATGTTTTATAGTCGATTCAAACTTCATCGTGTATACTCGAATCAATTTAGGGCAACAAAAGAAGTATATTAAGTATAATGTATAATGGAAAGTACTGGGAAAAGATGCAAAATATAATGGAGGAAGCAGAGATACTGAAAACGAAAAAAAGAATGCGAGAGAGAGAGAGAGAGAGAGAGAGAGAAGAAAGATTCAGAGTTAAGCACGCGTTTGTTCTCTAATTATACATTAATAATTTTTGTATTTTTGTCAAATATTAACCGAGCGAGAGAGAATGCACGATATATGCATTACTCAACTATTGCTATTATATGATTAATAATAATAATAATAATAATAATAGCTACTACTGTGTATAAATATGGATATATAAGAATAAATGTATTAAAGAAGTCTGGTGATTTACGTATCCATGGTGCAAATATTTGTGTTATGATCCCGCATGTTTAATGCTATTCCTTGATTTCTGCGAAATACCTTTCGATCCTATTATGATTAATTGTTGCAAAAGTTATATCGTCTGTGAAGTGCCACGTGTGCTGCTTATTTTGAATTTGGCGCTCTACTCGAATCGATCGATCGATCAATTATATCGCGTACTTCGAAGTTCTGAAGTGCGAAAGTCTGAAAGAAACTGAAAATCGAATGTCAAATCGCTGTAGAGCGACATAACCTCAAAGATCAAAATAAACTTTTGATAGGAAAAAGTGGTTAGCTAAATGTTGTAATAAGTAGTGTCACTCGGGAGAAAAAGTTTAGACCACAACTTTCTGGAAGTTCGATGATGAAAACAATCGAAGAAAAAGACAAAGGGATTAGACGAAAGCTTAAGATATTGCTATCCGAATATATGGCGGAATATATACGATAAACATACGTACAATCGAATAAAATCGATTTGTCAATCTACAATTTCATCTCAAGAAAATCGAAAAAGTTATGAAAATATCTAGAAAACATTTCTTCATCTCCAAGGAGGATATTTTCTGCACTATAACAAGTGATAATTCATCTAAAGGTAGGTCAAACAGATTTAATTAAAATTTAATATTCTGAATAAAATTTAGAGATGTACGGCTCTTTAAAAATCATACACAATCGTACAGCATGAGGGAGTAAACAGAAACAGTATATCTGTCCTTTTTCACATTGTTAGCAGATGAAATGAAAGTTGCAGATGCTTACGCCATTGAGAATCGTATGGGAAAAGTAGGACAGGGATAGTATCTGTGTTTCTGAAGTAGTCCTATACTACATCTTCGATAGCAATAATGAAAGCGAGCAGAAAGTGAAAATATGACGTATCATGACGTCATACTTATTGAAGTCTATTAGAATATTTTGAAGCACTGTATTGATTGCACTTGAAATGTTTAGCTATATTCCAAGATAGGAGTCAAAAGATCTAAGAAAGAGAGAGAAATGCTTCATTTGCAGTGAAACTAGATGTAGTCAACTTGATACTGACTATAGTTTGATTGACCAGCCAACAAGTGCTTCTAAGTATTTTTTGATTAGTTTATTGATAACATTTTTTTTAAGGATCATAAAATGCTTCAGAGCATTTGTAATGGAATTACTTTGACTACAGCTAAATGAGTCGGACTCTTATAAGGGGACAAAAAGAAGAAAAGGTTCATGATCATATTGTTTTATGCATTCATTCTATTGTATTCTGTTCGTGAATATTTCTTAGCGAATATATATAAAGCTTTGTGCTATATGTATAAATTGCAACTCAGATCAAACACATGTTTGTGTTTTGAAGCGTTTTTCTAAAATATTATGAGAATGTCATATACATATCAATGACAGAAAGAGGTAATATCAAGTCTGGCACATCGTGAGAGATGGCTTCTACGTCGTATCAACAAGTGTTGGCGCTCGATGCAAAGTATAACACACCGCGAGCTAATAAGCTCCCGAATCTAGGTATGTTTATTGTTTTGTTTGTCTTTTAATAGGTTGATCAGCTTTAATTACTTTTAAGATTCTGTTATAGGTGTATTGTATATTCGCCGAAGAAATCAATTGCTCCGAGGGAAATTTTCCACAACTCCAGAACTCGGCGCACGATACCTGAAAGCGCGATCGGAATTGTTGCGGCGACGTTATGGAGAGAGGCTGGAGCAAAACAGCATGGGAAGTCATACAATAAATGAGGAATCGTCGAAAAAAAAAGCGAAAGATTCCCTCGAACAACGAAGATCAACAGCAGAGAATTTTGCATTTGCCGGGGTTCATCATATTTTTGATCACCATAAGCAAATGATATCGATGGTCAAGTTTGCTAACAACGATAGATCCAGATTATGTTGCGCATCACTTGATGGTACATTGTCTATATGTGAAGTCACACCTCCCAAAGTAATCGCTGTTCTGAAGGGTCATACTTCTTGCGTGAGCGCGTTTGATTGGAGTATCAGCAACGATCTGATAGTTTCTTGTTCTTACGATTATACGATAAGACTGTGGAAAGTGAGTGTGGATGCAGAACCAGTCTGTCTGCGAGTGGTAAATGATCAGCAGCACATGCATCTTCTATGCTGCAGTTTCATACCTGCCAATAACAATCTGGTAGTAGCTGGCAATTCTCGAGGATTAGTCGAAATCTTAAATATATCTACCGGTATATATACACGCGGCGGAACCAATAATATCGGCGGAAAGGTTAGTTTTTATTTCGAGAGGATAGGACAGATATTTTGAAAGAGCAAGTTTATAGTTGTAATATAATATTTCTAGGTTATTTCCTTGGCATGCGAGGGCAGCGGTGGTTCAGTGATCTGGGCGAGCAATGATATAGGTGCCATAATATCCTTTCGACTGGAACCCAACATAGGACGGTTGACAAAGTTGCAGACAGTGCAGGATACCGGCAAAATAATAACATGTCTTTCCTGGCACTCCTGGATATCAAAAGATGCTCCTTGGCCTGCATTGTTGGTGAACAGCGCATGCGACGCCGTATTATTATATCGCGTCGCGGACAATCACGGTTCTCTGTGCTTCTGGAGAAAATATCCTATTAAGCATAGGTATTACTTATGTAAAATATGCTTTTCATCTCTTTACTTATAGTATAACAGTATACTTATAGTATACTGTATTCCTATCTTTTTATAGAGAATACCAATTGAAGTCTACCTTCTGTCCACAAATGGGCGGTTTAATAGCCACAGGATCGGAAGACGGGGCCATTCATCTATTCGATTCAGCAAAAGAGGGAAAAGCTGCTGGAATCAATAGGCTGCATGGCCACGCAACGCCTCCGGTGACTTTGTCTTTCAATTATGACGAATCTCTACTCGTATCTGCGGATTGCGACGGATTGATTATTGTATGGCGCAATCGTCAATGTAATTTGTAAAATATTCTACGGAATTTTTATCAAATTGAAAAAAAGATAGCTCGCATAGGATTTTTCAGGCTTTAAATAAATTACAAAAGTATCTTCTGTATAACAATATATTAATTGTTCTCTATCTTATGTCATAATGAGCACAAAGCAGTATCAGTAATAATTGTGGTAATAGCGAGAGAGATGTAGCGCTCGCGTTGTTACAACAGTAGCGATCTGTTTGTATATCATCTCGACATTGCGCGCACTCGTGAAACGGTAGTGGCACAAATAACTACATAATTTTCGTATAATACTAAACTATGTTTGCATGTTCGATATCATTTCATTGATTCGTTCTAATTACAGCAGTCTCTCCGTGTCAAGTACAAATAATACGAATACAACAAGATACATTATTGCAAACAAATACTTGTAAAAATTTTTTCTAAAACGGCATTTATAATCGTATCCATGTTTATATTACGCGTTTGCGAGTATTTTAAATCTATAGAAATATCTTTTACAACATGCCAAATTGAACTTATTCGTTTGTATTGCACACTTTCACATATTATAAAGTAAAGAATATACCGTATAGATATGTAAAATTATCTATTAGCATAAAAAGTAAATAAGATCTGATACTTCCATTATGTTATCGTAAGAAAGATGAATATTTTTATAACATGATCGTTTTCTATTGTATCTAAGTAAAACAAATTGGCGGATTCTTATCTTAATACCTTATATGCGAATTTCCAATTCAAACGCATTCGAACGGCAAAGCTGCCGAAATGTGTTTGTCTTGTTTTTTAAATTGAATATAAAACATATCAATATACACACTATATTCTTTTCATCACAGATCTAATGAAAGTAAAGGTCTATCAATATATTGTGTATACATCGTGTAGAAAATTAGTGCAAGTATTTCCATGTTTCTTCTTCGCCACAAGTCGTTATAACTGGGATGGCAGTCCCATATACTTTGTTATACAATACTTCGTGTGTGATAATGTAGAGAGCAAATTCGTTAATAATATTTAATATCAAGAAACGTGTGTGACAATAAGTGTTGGTAAAGAAAAAAAGAAGAAAAGAGATAATGTGAAAGACGGTTATAATCTCTTATAGAAGAGTCACAAAAATAATCATGTCATTCTACATAGGCACTACTGCTCGTTTAACAATTACACTATAAACAATAATTATTTACACGCGTAACGAATTGTTCATCTTAATTCGATGTGGCTTCTACAAACCGATTGTCTAGAATTAATACTCGTATATGTCCACTTTTTACATAGCCCCTTTGTTCTTACTTAATTCTCCGTTGCTTATTTCCTTCTATCCGTTCTATTTGTGACTAAAACCGTCATGCGGATAGAAAGCTTTATTAATAATATAAAGCCGTGACTATCTCTATATTGACACGTTTTTCCGTATTTGCTACAGAATAGTCATAACAACACCGCTAACAAGATCCATTAGACAACTGATCGACCTTTATAGCATCAAGTAATATCCACTACAGCCTTCTTATGTACATTTGTTCGAGATTCGTGTTGTATTAATAATCTCATCGGTGATAATCAACCGAATCGCGTGTATTAGCAAAGAGGATCACCACATTTTCACGACGAGATTGCTTCGGACGGACTTGGGCTAAATTGTCTTCCCTAAAACTTCATTACAGACTTTAGTCTCATTTTAGTCACGAGCTAAAACACTACACTTCTCGGTGGGTTCCAGCGTTTTCTCTTGATTATCACACTGAGAAATTCTTGTAGAAGATGGACCGATCTGGACATCTTCGTGAGGCACCTTTGGCAATGCGTTTTCATCGTTCATTGGACTCGACAAGATACATTGATTCTGCGTGATGACTTTCTCTAGTTCTGATTCGTGATTCTCTTTAATGTTTAATTGCTCGTCGTCCGCGTGCGATTGTCTCGTAGGAACGAACGGGGCGGACGGTGTACCGTTTGACGATATCAAATTTAACTTCAGACGATCTCTGGTGTGCCTTAACTCTCCTAACTGTTGTTGCTGACATTGGTCATGTTCGTGCGCGAAATCAATATTGTTTTGATGTGGCTCTTGTCGGCAACTATCAGTTTCATCTCGATCGTCGGATAAAACTGTATTCGCGCCAGGAAAGAATTGGCTGACATATTTACTTTCGCCAGTTTGAAAGGGTCGATTGGAACTAGTCACAAAAAATTCTTCGTTTCCTATAACAAAAAGAGTCATCATATAAATGTTGAAAAAATGTGAGATATCGTATAAAAGTTTTATCGTCGTAAATTCACACGTACCAGTATGATTGGCATCGTCATAATCTAAAGGATATAGATCTAGTCGCGGTTCATTCATCATTTCTTCCCAATCTGTAACACAAAAAACAATATCAGGTAAAATTGTTATATTTGAATGCAGATATTTATCTCTTTGAGGTTGACGTTCAGGTTGAAAAATGTTTAGGCAAATATAAAACGATCGCAATTATATGTTAAAAGTGTACCAGAATATAATGTCGGTTCCGAGTTGGTTATAGTATCTGCTTGATTCTCCGCGGGTATTGTTTCTTTCGGGTACTCGTACACGCAATGATAACGTTGTTTCTTGAACCACACGCTTTTCTTCTGATCCTACACAAATCGCGCATTATTAGTCCGATTAGAAAAATATATGCATGATATCTATATTATTCGTATATTTAGCATACGTCTAGCGTGTATATCTGTAAAAAGTACATGCATCAAGTACCTCAAATTAAATTTCTGCAAGAAAAAGAGTCACGGGAGAGGAATGTTTAAAATTACATGCATTGCTCTGTATTTAAGTAATCGACACACCTACCAACTCATCCTAGCGGCAAATTGAAAGAGGAAGAAGACTTGTTAATACCGGTGCGATATAGGGACACGAGTTTTGGCATGCGGTATATTTATCTGTACGGTGTTTACCCCTGATTTTAACGTTTTGTCCGGAGACCTCAATGCTGATCGATGTGGTGCTAAAGCGGCATTCCAGGCCGAAGGCGTGAATTCTTCCTCCTCTTCTTCATCCTCAACGGCCAATTCCTCTTCTAATTCAACATTTGTCGTCGTATTCGCTTCGTCATTATTCACAGTACTTCTGATTCGTATCTGCTCGATATGTGGTTCGTTATATCTCTGCGAGGCATAAATTTTAATAAGGATTTGAAAACAAGAAACAATAAGGAATATATAATGTTCTGTATACATTTTTGATACGGGAAAGAAATGATCTACCTTCCATACAAATTCACCGGAACTGGAACTGTTATCTTCGTCTTCTTCCTCTCCATCTTCATCCTCTTCTTCCTCCTCTTCCTCCTCTTCCTCTTCGTCCTCATCTTGACTACAGCATTCGCGTTCGGTGACGAAACTCGTCGACATCAAATCATCCTGTAATGGTAGAGGCAAAGGTAGTGGGAAGGACGAAGGTAACTGTTGCCACTTGGATTCTTCCTCGGGGCTTGGTAATGGTGCACCTCCGCTCGTTTTCACGATACGCGACTTATCCTCTAACGGACGTGTTGTTGAACAAGTGTAATCTAAATTTTCCTCCTCGGACAGATCGCCATTCGTTGTGTCTCGATCTTCATCCTGCAATCGTCCTTCTAACAGTATCATTTCATTTGTGCGAGTGTCCACCAACAGCACATCTTCGGACGGTATTGACTCCCTCGAAGCAACAGATGCGTCTCTAGAGTTCGACATTAAAGACTCGGAAGTGACGGTACTTTCTCGCTCCTCTAAGATAGGACTAAGCGGTGTCCCATATACGTTGTACCTAGATTCGATAAAAAAAAAAAAATAGTCATGTTAATATAAAGAAATTATGAAGAAATATATCACTATTTAATTCTTCATCAAATGATCTTTATTTTCAAAGAACCTACCTGATCGAGATATCTACACCCCCGCTAACTTGATTGGATGAATCTTCGTTATCTTCATCATCCCATTGTTTACCGTATGCGTCATCCGAGATGGAAGGATTTTCGTCGTCGTGTGCTTCCAAGGATTCTACGATCTGCATCTGAGCCTGAGGCAACTTCTCCCTGAGTTCGTTACGAATCGCCGTTACAAATTCCTCTTCCATGCTGAATGACACGTACGAATTGTCGCTACGTAAGCTCACCGTCGAACTATCCTCATCCTCGTTTTCATAATCCTCTTGCGAGTATTGTTCATCTCGTTGAGCATCTGATTTTAAGACATGTACATCTGTTTCTAAGTCGTGAGATTGATGAACATCACCTTTGGTCTTGAAATTCTGTCTTTTTTCAGGAGTCATGTTTCCCTTTTCCATCTTATCTTCTATTATATTTTCTTCTAGTATATTATCTCTTATTCGATTTAGCGGACTGTCTTCCATATCGCTCATCTGAGTCAAATCGGTATCGGTACCATCGATTTTAATAGAAACGTGATTCATATTGGAAGTATTCTGTTTCGAAGGCGATACGAGTCTTTCGATATCAGTTGTAGAAATTCCTTCAGTTATACTTTCAGGCCCACCGGGCGTGGCGTAATATTCCGCGTCGAGAATAGTATCTAGCTCAAATAGAATTTGGAATGGCTCTTCTTCGGAATACGACGATCTGGAGACTGCAGTGCTATTGGATGAAGCCAGAGGATTACCGGATGTTGAACAGATTGCTTCCTCTTCCTCGCAAGATTCTTTGTCTCGGAAACCCGAATCGGAACTCTGTTCATCGTCCGGCGTGGATAATTGCTTCCTCTCTTCCTCGTCATCATTTGGCAATAATTTTCGTTCTATTTCCGTATTCTCTATCGTAGAAAAGCTATCATCGACGGTATAAATCGAATAGGCGTTACAAAACTGTGGCGCGTCTGGCGTGGATACGGCAGTCACGGTCAGTTCAGGTGCACTGGCATTACTTTGCTCAGCTGATGCATCTATATATTCGTTAAATTCCGCCTCGTCTGAGAAACCTGGTACTTTGTGCTCTAAAGCGGAATCTAATGCGTGATTCCATAATAAAACGTCTACCGTATTATTCGTCTCGGCATTATTCGAGACAAAATTATTACAAGTGTCGCTGTCCTCCTTAGTGACAAGGAGTATATCGGGCGCCCCGTGATTCTCTCTTTTCTCCTTTACTTCTTCAACGTAGGACGTTTGGTCAGGTACATAGCGAAGAAGGGGTAAGTCCGGATCTCCCTTCGACAAAAGTCTCAGTACGTGCTTCTCATTGCCGCGCTGCATGCTATCCGTGCTTGCGTTAAATTGTGCGCCATTACTCTCACTACTCTCCGGAATTTTTTCCGTGTTCAGAGAAAGACGTAGGATCGGCGTCTGGCCCTGATCTGTGGTAAGAGTTAGCAGTTTCGGTCGTTCCAAGTTTTCCAGAGATCGAACTTTATTGGTAGCGTTGCTCGGCAAAGGATCTCGTAATTTTTTCAATGCCTCGTCGAACTCATCCGCGGGCACGGTATGCCTGAGATCGCTGTCGCTGCCGGTCACAGATAATTTCTTCTTGACATTCTTGTCTTGTGATGTTTGCGCTCCCAATGACCATTCCGCGTCGGAGTCGGGATCAATGTGTACAAGCACCATAAGATCAGTCACAGATTTCGACTTTTGCTTAACTTTTTCGGTATAGACACCTTGTTCGATACGGCCCTTCCAACTTTCCTCCTCGGTTTCCGAACCAGACTCTTGAAATAGCGCGGTCTTCATTCTGGGGATATTCCTCACTTGTTCGTCGGGACCAAGACGAAACGAAGATTGTAACGAGTCTGTGATCTGCGCATCGTCAACGATATGAGTCCAGTAATCAGAATCGATACTACCACGTAGATCTTGTAAGCTAGCACTGCGCACATTTTGTTTGCAAGTGTTCGCACGTAGACTCTCCCATCGTTGCTCGAAATCTACATATGCCGAATGTTCATTCAGAAGGATCTGCTTAATGTCATCCAAGGAGGGCCTGTCTTTCGCATTAACATTCAAACACAAGCGAATCACTTGGAATACATTCGGCGCACAACTAGTGAGATAACTTTGCAGCAATCGCGTGCCGTTTGGCAAAAATTGGCTTTTTAAAGATAGGATCATCTGAATGACCTGCTCGTCATTCATATCGTTGTAAGGTCTTTCTCCCCAACTAGCAATTTCCCAAAGAAGAACCGCGTAACTCCACATATTGGCCTGTAGCGTAATCTCTTGCGTTTCGATGGTGGTATCTGTACAGTTCAGACTTTCCGGCGCAGACCATCTGATGGGCAAAGCTCGATCTCCCACTATATAATAATCTTCGGGATACTTTTCGACACCGGTACCATAATCACCTAGCTTGGCTGACAAGTCAGGAGCAACCAAACAATTTCTTGCGGAGAGATCGGTATGCGCAAAGCCGTGGCTGTGCATATGCTTCAAACCAGCTGCGATCTCTATCGCAATTCGTATCGGAACATTTTCCTTCTCGAGTGCTTCTCTCGATTTGGTATCACGGTTCGATAATAAGAAACCTTTTAGATCGCCAGCTGGACACGATTCAAACAGCAGAAGGTACGGGTCAGTTTCCAGACAGAAACCGAGTAGAGACAAGACGTTTTGGTGGCGTAGCTTCAAATACGGCGTGGCTTCGCCGAGAAACCAGGCCTTCTCTTTGGTGGTAGCTTCTTCGGTGAGGATCCTCACTACTACGCCACCCGATTTCGAGACGCCCTTCGATTGCTCCAAATCTGCTCGACCTTCGACGACCTTTCCAAACCATCCATGACCTATTTCTCTGAGATATTTCAGTTTCTCTCTAGGAACGTAAAGCTCATTGGAGTTGAACCAATCACTACATGGTTCCTGCAGGATAGAGCGATCTGTATCTTGATCCTCGATACGCGGCGCTGATAAAGGTATTGCTTTATGCTTCGGAGTATTTCTATTTCCGGATACGATAGATTCCACTGGTAGAGGTTCAAATTGAACCCTTTCGGAAGCGGCTAATGTCCTAGAGGCATCCAATTCCAAACCTTCAATGGATCGATCAAACGCACTTCCCTGTCCAGTACTGCTTCCATCTTTGAATTCCTATAACGATAATAATAGCGCCATTTTATATGCCATAGCATTCTGTGATACAAAACATAAAAATTTACTGCTAATGTACTATGCATGCTATTTGTGAACGTATCTAAAAAGGGATTAGGAAACTCAAAATGTTCCTAATACTTATTACTACAAAAGATATAATCGATCTTTTTGAAATTTAAAGGAATACATTCATCTATATTAAATAATACATAATTATTGTAATATGTACTAATTGCAGACTCCATCCATAAAAACTTATCAGATGTAATTTAAGAAATACAATTTTACAATTTTTATTATATAAATAAATTAATAATGATTTATATGGATAGAGTCTATTATTTTTAATGCTAGCTAAACATCAATTTTGTTTACATTCTCATTCTAACAGATAAATGATAAAGGATCTGTAACATCAATGTTACCTGATTGCACTTTTCTGCTTTGGCCTATAATTAAAAAAACCCAGAGACTGGTGTTAGAGTTCTAAAGCAACAACATTACTTTCTCTATATTACTTGAGTATGCAAAAAAGATCTCTGTAAACTACCTGAAATCCTTTGGGTCTTCTGTGTCTCTGGCAACAAAGACATCCAGCCAGAGTTAACGCCGTGGCACTGACGCTCGACAAAGCAATCGCGTAACGCATCCAGTAGTGTTCCCACTGCCAGGAAGAACGAGTATACGGTGAATCTGCGATGAAAATCAAGTTATTCGACGTTAGCTCCAGCAATACCATTGCCGTAAACGTCATGATTTCACACTTTTTTTATAGAAAGGAAATGGGAGAAAAACAAAGACTCATGCTTCTCTGTCTACAAAACAACGTATGCGAGGTACACATATGTATGTCAAAGGTACAAAGGGGTGATCAAGCGATCGAATTAACGACGTATATACGTACCAGCGGTGAGCGGCGAAGGTACGGGGTAGGCCGCGAGCATGGGCAGACCCACCCACCAGAACAGCCAGCACGCCCGATGTAAGTTCCGCATCGCGGTACCGGGGCAAGTTCCTTGTCGTCCGCGTTAGGATTCGGCGACGAGCTGGCCTACGTCATTCTCACGTCGTTCGTGCGGGCGTGCATAGAGACGGGATGACGATTCGAGGGCGATCGGTTGTCGCGGACGGCGAGTCGACAGCGGCACGACGGTGCGCTCATAGTCCTCACCCCGCGTGCACCTCGCGCCTTCGTGGCGGGCGCAGCGCTGGCGAAAGGTGGCGAGGCGCGCAGCACGGACGCGGCCTATTCAGGCCGTGCATGACACGGATGGTTTACGTTACGACGGCCGACGCCGACGAGCTCTGACGATACTGGCGAGCGAGAGAAAGAGAGAGAGAAAGAGAGAGAGAGAGAGAGAGAGAGAGAGATCACGCGCGAGGAAGAGACTCGTCTACCTCCTTCACCACGCCGGACACCCTCGCGTGCCCTCGCGCATCCTTCGCCCGCGGGGGGAAGGCGAATTGCTCTAGAGGGAGAAAACGCCGACAGGTATCTCTGTCTCTCTGCGCGTGCATTCACGTACTACTTTCTTATGATTCGCGTGCAATTTGTCGAGAATCCGGCCGTAAATTATCCCGCGGACTGGGAAACAATTGGACGTGAGGTGTCTATCCGTGGAGGGGAACCGCGGCGTGGACAATCGCATGAAAAGGAGAGGGAAGGATCCGATTATGAATACGCCATGTTGTTGACACAGTTCCTGACGTGTGAATGAAGAACAAAAAAATAATTGGCCGTGTGTCGCTGGTCAACAATATGGCGTATTCGATTGTCTGCTGCATTTACTCTAGTACATATACACACTCTGAAGATATATAGATAATAAGATATTTAGATAAATACGCAGGAAGATAACGTGAACACTGATAGATATTTAATATGCAAAATATCCCATAATTAGTGACTCATGTAAATAGAGTGTTATATTAAATAGAAAAATTCTCTATCATCCTGCGATTTTCACAATAGTTTATGAGATTGATTAGTTTATTGTGTTGTTATACAAAAAAAATAGATAAAATTATAGACTTTATAAAGTTAATAACAGTGAGGATCTAGACAATGAAAGGCGCATGTATCTTCGTGTTAAATCGCTTAATATGTACGTGCCGTGTAATGTGACATTAAAGCGGAGATAACGTAAATTTTGAGCGTAAAGCAGATGTGAGTGAATATATGCGATTTATCTTTATTTAGCTAACATTGAGAAAACACAACTGGGCATTTTCATTGTTCAAACACATGGTGAGAAAAGTGGAGTCACATAGGCTCAATGGCAACGGAGGAGCATAAACGTTTGGCTGATGTTGTGAAAGGAACTCATGCCTTGTTGCGCGCTGAGTATCACCAATATGGCGCCAAGATCGCGTGGGAGCGCCATTTGGCGCGAAATGACGTTTTACAGGTTTGCAAACTAAATTCTAAATTTGCGACTCGTTTGAAATTCAATTTTATCGCTCAATGGATAAATTGCAAATTAATACATTTAATTACATAAATTAGTAATTTTAAATTTTATTTTAATATCATTTTAGGAATATGCTGCGTCCATGCAAAAGCTGGCCGTCAAATGTTGGGCGAACAATAATTCAAAGAGGGACGGAACGTACTGCAGAGTAGAATGGATAAAAACGCAATGCAAGGAATATTTTCTCAGTGGTGGTAAAGAGAAATATGATAAGAGAGAGCAGGATATAAATACTAAGATATCTCTTCTTCCGGAAAATTCGAGGGTCGAAAACCAAACATGCGAGAATGATCGGATTGATATGGAAAACGAATCATTAAATTTTCATGAACAAAGGTTATCAATACTGGATGTAGGGAGTTGTTATAATCCTCTAAGTACTGATAATGCATTTGATGTTACTGCGATAGATCTAACTCCAGCGGCAGGAATCTTTAAATGTGATTTTTTGAACGTTGCAATTGGAAAAGAAAAAGTTCTCTCATGGGACACACAAGAAATTCATCAATTACCCGCAAATTTCTTTGACTCTGTAGTATTTTCCCTATTGTTGGAATATTTGCCATGCCCGAAACAGAGGTACGTCTGCTGTAGGAACGCATATGACGTGTTGAAGAGCGGTGGCATACTAATTATTGTAAGTCCAGATTCGAAGCATGTCGGGGCGAACGCACGACTGATGAAATCCTGGAGATATACTTTGAGCAAAATGGGATTTATGAGAATTAAGTATGAAAAATTACGTCACATTCACTGTTTAGTGTTCAGAAAATGCGTGTGGAAAGATGTGGCGATACGATGGTCCAAACTGCAGAATTTTTCGGAAACTGATAGGAAATACATGTCTGAGACAGAGATTTTTATCCCGCAAGATTTTCAGACCATCTGTTTTAAGGAAAAACAAGAAAGATTGGATAAATACGATGAAATTCATTTAGCGACCGCTTTCTCTGAATTACCATTTAATAATGAAATGTTTTGATCATTGTCTCTGCAAACATATTATTGTTAAATAAAACATTTTACAAAAAGTGCATAAAACATTTTTATAATTATTACTTATTTATTATTTAGGTATAAGTTAAAAATTTAATTTTAAAATTAAAGTAATACAATAATATTAATTGTTATTAATAACAATATACAATACAATGATAATTATAATAATAATTTATTAAATTAGTAATATTACTTATTTAATTTTAACTTTTTTAATTTTTATGAAAAATAGTTTTTAATATTCCCGCTAAGAATTTAATTTGTTTCCGGCGTTGTGGCGTTACGGCGTTATGGAAACGATGGAACAAAATGTGCCTTTCTTTTATGTATGATATAATCAATGACGTTTCTCGTCTTTGCGCAATTCTGCGTAGTAATCTTAGATTGTTGGATTTCTCAACGCATGCGTATCTCTAAACAGTTTTGCTCGCATGCATTTATCGCATCGCTATTTGTCCGCAAAAGTCACGTGATTATTGAACAAGCTCGTATTTAGAGGAGTGCAAAATGCTTTATGGAACCCAATATAATTCTAATGCTTTTATTATTATATATATTAATAAATTATATTATTAATAATATGATATACAAAAGATATTAAATTCTGTATATAAAGAATGTATATTATTAAGTATTTATTGATATTATATTCTAATAATATCAATATTTTCCGAAACATATGTACGTTACTATGCAATGCTATTGCGCATGCGTTAGAAAATCCAGCGATGCAGCTCTGCATGCTTCTACGTCTAGAGACTCTTTCTTTTCTGTTCCTGCTTCTTGTGCGGATGCACGTGGTATGTATAATTTTCTTCTTTGTTGAATTTTTTAAATAATTTGCTGAGATATGTTGCTGAGATATTTCCCAATCATAACATATTCTAAATTATCAAATGTTTTCGCAGTATTGTATTGCAAAAAATCTTTTACACGTTTTTGATGCTTACACATGGTATAGAATTGCTATGATTTTCGAAACTTTGGAATTAACGAGCCAAAAATCTTAGACATCGCACTTAGAAACACAAGCACTTCGGACACAAATTTTGACAACTTTTTTTTTTAAAGAGAGTTTATGAAAATTTTGATTTATTTTTTTTTAGAGAAAGCATCCTTTTTGTGATTTCTCTCAAGAAAGCCATGAGGTATAACGATTCCAAATACTTAGAAAATTATCTGAAACTCTGGACACTTGCTCCGGACATTTCCAGACGTCGTAAAAAAGAGGATGGATAGCAACCCTAGGTATATATAATCTATTTATTTAGCAACAAATTTGTTTCTCTTTTTTTGATAAACTTAAGAAAAAATAGATTAATGGTTATCGTCCGACAAAAGAACCAATAATTAAAGAAAATCGAAGCAAGTATATCAGATTATGCATGTGTGAAATTAGCTGAAGAAGGAAAAATTAAATATATTCAAACTATAGGATGTCCAATAATCAGAGCAATAGTGTTTTCTATCGATATAAAACTGCATATGAATGCTATAACAATAATTATTGGATATCTTATATAACGTTTTATTGAGAAGCCTGATAAAATAATATAATAAATAGAATTACAAATTAAATTTATAACATATTTGATCCTCTAAAGAATCCTCTTGGAAAGTCTTATTTTTCTCATCCCAAAAAGATATTAAATCTTGAGAATAAATTATATAAGTTTAAAAAATGAACAAGATGATATAAGAAGAAAAGAAGAATAAATAAGAGCTGAGCTAAAAGCATTTTATTTAAAGTGGAAAAGAAATTATTCAGTTCAGTTAAATCTATTTTATCTGTATATGAATATATATGTAATTATATTAAAAAAATATTTTAATTGATCATAGAAAATTTAAAATAAATATAATTTATTTAAAAATAAAATTTGAAGAAGAAAAAATATAATTAGGGGAATTTTATCAATTATTTTTTTATTCATTAGTGATATATTAGAAAAAAATGTTAAAAATGATGACAGATTATCACCGAGATCTATGAGTGCTATGATTTGCATTGTATTTGCTAACTGATTATAATTTACATTAATTTAAAATTTAAATAGTAAATAACAATCTTAATTAATATATATATTTTGTTGTTTAGGTTGTAAATCTTGAGGAAAATGGCATTTTTTAAATTGATTGAAGGTATTCATATTCTTTTATATTATTTTATTATTTTGGATTATATTTTAAATAAAGTGATGTTATTATAATCACCAAGATCTATGAACACTATGATATTTAAATTTGCTACTTCTGATGTCATATATTTAATTAACTATATAAACATTCAGTAATTATTATTCAATGACTAACATATATTTTATTGCTTTTTTTTTTAGATTTATTAAGTCTCAAATTTATAATCAAATAGCAATGATTATAGGTAATTTTATTTACTATATAATATCAAATATTTAATTTTAATATCCATAGTATTTAATGATGATAATGATCCACCAAAATCTATGAATACTGTGATTTATAGTATTTGCTAACTGATTATTATTTATATCAATCTGAAATTTAAATAAATAAATAGTACTCTTAACTAATATAATTATTTTGTTATTTAGGTTATATTGAAGGGGGAAATCTGGAAAGAATAAATCTTGAAATGGGAAAATTGTATCTTGAGATTCAATAAAAGGTATTTATATTCTTTTATATTAACTTGTATTATAAATAGTGTTTATTTATTATAGATGTTAAATTTTTAATTATATATCCTATAATATTTAATAATGATGATATGATCCACCAAGATCTATGAATGCTGTGATTTGTATAGTATTTGCTAACTGATTATTATTTATAGTAGTCTAAAATTTAAATAAATAAATAGTACTTCTAAACTAATATAATTGTTTTCTTATCTAGGTTATCTTGAAGAAAATAGCATCTTGAGATTCAATAAAGGTATTTATATTCTTTTATATCAATTTTTACATCATTTTTTTAAGTTAAAATGATTGTTAATAATAAGATCTAGGAATGCTATACTTAAATTTGCTACGTTTGATCTCATAATGTTTAATAAGATATATGGAAAATGTTACTCAATGATTAATATATATTTTTTATGGTTTATATTT